ATCGACGGTATAGGTGTCGTCCTGGGGTTTCCGAATGAAGACCCTGTACCCTTTGGCAGGTGAAAGGCGATCCAGTTGTTTCGAGAAAAACGGTGCCATTACGAGCCGAAGCCCTTGCTGCCCAATTCAAGAAGGAAAAATATTGAGTAAATTAAATTTATCTAGGTTCGATCGATGTAAAGAACTCACCCAGGGGTTCTTGTTCATTACGAATCCCGGATCTGAGGAGTTCTGACGGTGAACTTTTTTGTCTCTGCGGTAGTTGAAGGTAATGCAATACCCAAGCACTTCGTTTACCTCGAATTCATACCTATAAGTTCCAGAAAATGCAACAGTCGCACAAGACTTCACCTATAAGATGATGATTGGATATTCATTACTGGGGAAATCCACTCATTCGCCGATCGATCAAAGTGGTTGCTTTTTCCCCTCCAGTTGGTTTAATGACTCGGATAGAATGCCTTTTTTGGTGGATAAACTGAAATAAATGCGTGATTGGTGTGCTTTGACAGATTGTCATATCCAGAGTGCTGGACAACTCGGCAAACAATGGAAATTTCATCTGGAGAAAATGTTACGGCAGAGGTTCTCCTTCGAAATGCATGAGCATTTGTGATTACTCGTAATAGGACTTCGTTAGGAAAAGAAAATCCTTACATATCATCGCAAGGCTCTTCGTTGAAGCTGCAATGGAGTACGTTTTTCATAATATCGGTACGATCCAAGTCCGTGAGATCGGAGTAGCCATCCAAGAGGTATCCGTTCGGGCCGAGCCACCACTCGAATGCATTCAGGAGATCCCGTGCAAGTTCATCTGCAGAGAGGAGTTCCACCAATCCTTAATGAATCCATCTGCGGCACTTCTATCTCACATCAATCCCTTCTGTGAAACGGATGCGAATCAGTGCAGAATCGTACACTGTCTCAAAAAGGCCACTTTACTTTTTTGAAATATCTTCATATGATACCATGGAAGACACGTGCATTTTTGCTCATGACATTGTATACGTAGATAGATGTGTCCGAAAGATTCTTGCCGAATGCAATAGGATTCCGTGCAGTTCTTCATATGCAAGAACTTCTCAAAGTTGAGGTGCCGAAAATCGCAGAGAACGAGCAGTGCACACGTTAATTCTTGTCAGGTGCGTCATGTTGGCAAGCTCCAAAATGACAGCTCTGGCAGCAGGCTGTCTCAGGGATGGAATTCTTTCAGATAAATTTATTAAATCATGTGGTATTATGATTTCTTTAAATGCTTTTTTTCAATTAAAGACTGACAGTTCATTTGAAAAAGAAAAACCTCCCAGCAATCCTCCGAGCCTTACGCTTCTTTGCACACGGCAAACCAGATGAATATGGAAGGTTACTGCCAAATGTACGTCAACCTGCATTAAAACCTAAAACTGGCACTCAAAACGTCCACCTTCAGCACGAATGGAAGCTCTATTCCTCTTCTTGACTGAGGACCAATTCATCCACCCATATTTTCACAGTTCGAGTTCAGTGCAACCTGCTTCTTCGGCATTTTCTCAATCAGCATTTATTTTAACAACTTAAAAAGAATGTGAAGATACCTTTTTTTTCGTCCGGGTATTACTTTGCACTTTCAGGCTTGCACCCGTCATGTGACGTCCTACGACATATCACGTTTTCAATCACTGGGTAAGATTTTTTTCCACCTTGGTAGGTAACTTTCTTATTCATTTGAGATTTCATGAAGGCTGGAAATATTCTAAAATGTAAAGTGGTCTACTTTTTTTGAGACAGTGTAAAAATGTGAAATGGTTTCCCGGAAGAGTGTTCCCTTTTTTCATCACGTGAAAGCATGGTCATTTTATATTGAGCCGAGTGATTGAGCATGTAATATCACTATAGTATTTTCGCAGTTAAAGAACGAAGCGGTGAACTTACAATTTGCAGCAGCAAAGGGTTGCAGGCATATCCCCTGCTCTCCGTCTTCGCTTGTTGTGCTATTCTCGTCTTGGAGGAAAGAGGGTAAAGGTGCCCCAGTCGGTTGGTTTACGTCATCTGGCCTTGATAAGAAATCAAACACCTTATCAAGGTACGTATCCATTTCGAGGAGTTTTTGCATCGGGCTGAAGAGCCCCGAAAAATCGTAACGCAGGCGAAAAGGTTGAAGTTTTTGGGTGCAGACGGTGACGGCTGGGAAGGGAAGTTCGTCCCGTGACACGATCTAGATGGGAAATGAGGAATCCATCGGTGACATTCTCCGACCAGACCCAGAGGCAACGAGGCGGACGAAAGGCGCGAAAGGGAATCTACCTGGGTGGTGGTCGTTCTGGGACCGGACATATATGCATTGATGATATCGACGAATCCGAAGGTCATGTAGCCAAAAGCGATGAGAAATACTAGAAGCCAGAATAATTTTCTGAAGAGAGAGGATTCTGAGTATGCGGAACGGCCCAGTGCCTGGACAGAGAGATGTTTACATATATAGAATCCTCAGCTTTTAAATATGAGTAGGCTTATTCTCAGGCGCGATGCCTAATCATAGTAGGAATATCATACACTGGAATAAGAGTCTTTCTCAGCAACACCCAAGGGTCATTCCTCAAAATTGTAGACAAAATAAAATATTTCCAAAAAATTGTAATACGTGACAATTATGGTAGACAATGCTAAGCCGGATATCATCTCATGGCACACTACTTATAAATTGGTGCAATTAATCAATTTGGGTTTGATGCAGCTATTTACACTGACCTAATGTTCCTTGTCTGCTGAAATTCATTTAACATCAGTCACGATCAACGTTCCTTATTACTTCCTGAAAATAAAACCCGCCAGTTAGTAACTGATGAGATACATATGTCATGTTTTCCTGAGAAAAAAGTGAAGTAATCTGACTTCAAATGGAACACGTATTTCTTAGAAGCACATTGTCTCCTTGAGATTGTGATCTTCTCATGTACCATTGAATCATAAAAACCCTCATATATTTTTCAACCCTTAACCCTCATCCGGACAAGATGAAAGACGAATGTAACCTGGCAAGGTGGTCCATTGGACTCCTTATCATTCTAACCCTTATAGTGCGAGAGTCGCTGACAGCGACGCTACAAATATCGCTTCAAAATGCCAGAGTCGAAGAGCTGGCACTAAAATGTCCGAAGTTCGAGAAAGGACACGATCGAACGATCGGAATAACAAAACATTTCTTAACCTTTTAATCGTCAGCACTTCGACACTGGCCTTTTAAATTAAATTCGTAGCGTCACTCTAATCGGTTCCGGTACTATAAGGGTTAAGAATCTAAGAAAATCCGGATCTTTTCTTCTATTTGGAGACTCCAACGTGAAGAGTTTGGAGGCCGCAATGGAGTAGCCCTACTGCATGCAGGTGTCGTTTGCTTTCGCTCCATCCTCTGGAGCATGACATAAAAGGGACAGGAGAGAGGCAATATTGTGATGGGTGTCAGCCGAAGCGGTATCTGTGGTCCTGCACGTGGGGCCCAAGGATATCCATCTTATGAACACGATAAGGGCTTTTCGTGAAGCTAGAAGACAGGGTGACGGTGAGCGCGATTCCGAGCCGATTGCATATGGCAGGTATGACGTGGTTCATGTTGGGGGGGGGGCAAAATCATAGGTTCACAGCAGTACATACAGTATGGGTCAAAAGTATTGCAACACAAGCGGATTACGCTCATGGTTTGTTGCCCTTTATTTGTGTTTCCTACAGTCATTTAAATAACTTAGGAATACTCCGACAAACCAGTTAGCATGGTGTAGCCTATGCAAGTAGCGTGCATCTACTGCGTAGCTTATGTACGTAGCAGCTTATGTTTGGTATCAACATCTAACAATATGAAGGTCTGCGAGCTGCCGTTGGAGGTCCGGGCTAAAGCCGTTGGAATGGTTGAGGCAGGAAAGTCCCAGAGGGAGGTAGCTAGGATTCTTGGAGTTCACCCAGCAAGTGTGAATCGTTGGTGGAAACGCCACAAGGCTGGAGAAAGCCTCCAATCAAAGGCTCGCTCAGGGCGTCCAANGTTGAGAAAAGGTCAGAGGCCATCTTCATGCATGACAATGCCCCTTGTCATGCCTCCAAAGCCACCACTTCCTGGTGTCAAAAAAACCTGCCAGCATTCTGGGGTAAGGACAAGTGGCCAGGCAACAGCCCTGACATAAATCCCATAGAAAATCTCTGGCAGATTCTCAAGGAGGAGGTCAAGAAGATGAAGCATGCCACAAGCCGTGAGCAGCTTATTCAACAAGTGAAAAATGCATGGGCCAACTTGGACCCAGGCATTCTCAAAAACCTAGCAAGCAGTATGCCTCAGCGAATGCAGATGGTAATCAATATGAAAGGAGGTTACACTGGGAAATAAGACATGTTCATAGCACTCTTTGGAAGAGAATAAAATTAATTTTTCCTTTGTTGCAATACTTTTGACCCATACTGTATATGGGAGGGGAGGCGTTTTTGACCTTCGGCATCGTTGTGTGGGACATAGAAGCAGTCGAAACGCGACGATCGTTTCATTATGGATTCGATCGTCTTAAGGAGAGCAGATTTCGGTGGACTACGCGGATGCTTTCCCGGTTCGAGGCGCATGGGGCGCCAGGTGGATGGCGGGATTGGATGAGTTGCTGACTGAAGAGAGCGGGGAAAGGAGAAGCAAAGGAGGAGGTAGGGACGATTCACATAGGGGGGATTTACGCTATTAAATTAATTCCATAGTGGTCTAGAGGATTCAGAGGCAACCTACGAAGATGATAATAGAGGTGTGAAGATTTTCTTTTGAAAAGCGTCAAGAAACGTTCGAACTCTTCTCACTCGATTGGTGGCGATCTTTGGATGGCCTCATATGGGCTTTACAATTAATTTGAGCGAAAATGACGCAGAGTGTGGTATATTCTCAGAGCCTGATAGTAAAAAGCACCTGAAGAAACCGGTGGGAGTTGTGCAAGCCAAGCCAGACTCCGGTTCCGGAATGAATTATTCACTTCGTTGGGATGGCTAATGCGTTGAACATGTCAGTTACGTTGCCCCTGTCGCAACTAGAATTAAGTAGAGGCGAGGTGCCTTCATGTAAAAACAAAGAATGGGAGAAATGTAGCTGTTACTGATGAGGTAAGGGGTGCATAATCTCCGACATAATATCTGCAATTAAAAAGTGTAGTGCTCCCCTTTTTACGCGAGAATGGAAAACTATAACGGACGGAAGAGCCTCTCAACGATGCGAATCCCGAACGTTGGAGATGAGAACCGTTGAGAAAAAAGCGGTAAATTCCACGTGCATGCCTTTTCTGGGAAGAACCTATCATAAAACTTGTCGAACGCCACGCATGTATGAAGGAGACTCACGTGTCCTGTGAATCTCTCGAGGAATCGGACCGTGACGGGACGAACGCCGACTGTTTCCCCCCCTTCGTCTTCGAACTGGATCTCCGCGACTCTTCCCCTCGCTCCGTCACCCATCCTCACGCGGTTCGGCATCCTCTCCAACTGCAAGGAAAGGACGCCAGGAGTTCCGATGTCTCGGGCGGTGCTATACGGAGGCCGAGAGGTTTAGGGAGAGAAACTGGGACGCGACCGAACGAGATGTCTCCGATATACATTTTTTTACGATTGTAAGTTTGATACACGAGGTGTGATGAGAGTCCTGGTGCGAATTCCACCTCGATGCAGGTAAGGCAAGAAGCAAAAAGAAATTGATCAAATTTCAAACCGGCTCATTGAGATTAATCCACGTTGACACTAGCATATTGCACACTGCAAACGTAAACGATTCGTACCCACATGCTTGCAATGAATCTCTAATCGACGCAAAAAAGGTACATCGATAAAAATCCTCGAGAGCAGAAAATTTGACAGAAAGCCCAGGCTTTGGAGGCGACGAAGTGTCGATACACGATGCAATATTTAACGAGAGCCCAACCGAATGAATTCGGTCGTCTACGATACGACACCGTCCGTCATTTAAATACCCACGCAACTACTATGAAATGGGATATTTTACCACACGAGGGCATCACCTTTTGCATAGAAAGTAACACGAAACCGATGGACCGTCACGCGAGGACCTTCGTAGATACGTAGAAAAACCTTGGGCATAAAAGGAACTGGACCGATATTTGCCTTCGTGCTTGATGGCCGACACGAGTCGTGAGGTTGCATGTTCTTAATTGCCACTGATCAATATGACCACATGCTTAAAGACGATGGTGTAATTAGGCCGAGGTTCATGATATCGACAATTATTTATGCGCGGAAGGAAAATACAGCCCCTTTTTATGACCTGCTCTTCTATTAACGTAATGAGCAGTGCGTTCAAGAAGAATAACGAAGAATAACCGTCCCCCAATCAAGTTTCTCGCTTGGTGCAGGCGAATGCATTTTCAGTGGGTCTTTTCCTCCAGCCGCTTACAGCTGCTGGCGGACCGTCGCGACCCATGAGAGCACCGAACAGGCCAGCACGAATGTGACGCCATGGGATAGCTGGAAGCGTCAGCGAAGCCGCCTAGAAAGAGAAGAAACCCAGAGACCCGGATTCTCGAAGCTTAGAGGCCTAAGCAAGCCGAGGGTTGGCCCGATCGGCCCGACACGACCAGCGGGTGGGGTCGAGTAGGATCACGGTTCGAATCGGGCCAATCGAGTCGAATTCGAAAAAGCCGACCCCGGCAGGCCTCCGGCGGTCAGACGGACGGATCGACGAAGGACGTCGGCCATCATTATAACGACAGATCGCACCCGCGTGCAACAAAATGTCAACAGACATGAGGAATTCCAGGCTTGGATGACTCCGAAGGGGACTATCCGCAGAATGCTGCAAGGGATGTATCGCACGAAAATACTGTATGAATAGGTTAGAGCAGGGGTGCCCAAAGTGCGGCCCGCGGGCCGCATGCGGCCCTCCAAGGGCTTTTGTGCGGCCCGGGAGGCGTGAGAGGCAAGATAAAAGAGGCCCACTTCGGCGAAACAGCAAATTGAATTAGGTCGAAACCAGGAAAAATATTTTCATTTGGTATATTATTTACCAGGCAGAAAAGCAAGGTTTTCCAATTATGCGGCCCGCGAGCCCGCTCCCTACAGGCTATGACCCAAAACTTTGGGCACCCCTGGGTTAGAGTGATACCTGTTTCAGCAGAGAGAGTTGAGGTAGGAGTGTGTCACATTAATGTGTTGAAATAATGGCTACGCTTTAGGTGGCCATTGAAAAGCAGGTCTGTTCGGCGCCCCGCCCTGGCCATTGCGTCTGTTTGCTGTGCTATCACCTTCTCAGGCATGCGCACTGTACTCGAGTCAGGGTTTCAATAGCCTTTCTGATATCATCTCGGTGGGGTTGTTCTGGTGCGGCTTTTCATGGCGCTGGCACGATTAGTGGACCTCAATATGTTTCCCTCCAATTCGGTTAAAGGCCAAAGAACGAGTAAGTCAGCTTGTTTTGGGAAATGATGGGTCAGCTGTGTTAGAAAATGGTTGCGGCCTTCTGGCACGATTATTTTCTAATCCAACTGCTCCATCGTCCCCCAATGTAGACTGACTTTCTCGCTCGTTTGGCCAAACATACACTCTTAGAAAAAGGGGAGCGATTTTTCTAAAAAAAGAGTAAAATAGCTAACTCCAGTTTCACCCCCCTTTCACTCTGGGAAAGGAGAGAATTTACTCCATCACCAAGGAGGAAAATTCCTCTCCTCCTCCGTGAGTAATAACGTTCCCATCAGAAAGTGATAGG